TTTCTATGGTCCAGATGTAATTTCTATAGTCCAGATGTAATTTCTATGGTCCATATGTAATTTCTATAGTCCAGGTGTAGTTTCTATGGTCCAGATGTAATTTCTATAGTCCAGGTGTATTTTCTATGGTCCAGATGTAATTTCTATAGTCCAGGTGTAGTTTCTGTGGTCCAGATGTAATTTCTATAGTCCAGGTGTAGTTTCTATGGGGAGAAAGACATAAAAAAACTCATGTTAATTATAGAAACAATTTCAAATACATACCTAAAGAGTAGAGTGAATAAAGACAGAAGCTGAGTGAGGAATGATGGTCAGTTTGTCCTCTAGCAGTCTGATCCTATAGCAGCACAGCTAAGGGATCGTTCAGGAAACCCAAACTAACCCTAACTATAGGACTGATTAAAAATTAAGTCTTGTCCAGTCTTGAAAGTAGACAGAGTGTCAACCTCACAGACAAAAACAGGAAGTTGGTTTCACGAGGGAGAAGTGTAATAATTGGAAGCTCTTTGTCTCCCATTATACTTTTAGAAACTCTAGTAATCACATGTAAACCTGCAGTCTGGGAACAAAGTACTCTGTTAGAAAAATGGAACAGTAAGATCTTTAATTTAATTTGGACAATGGTTGTTGAGAGCTTTGCATGACTTTGTAGATGTAAGATTTTAAGTTCTATTCTGAATTAGGCTAATTGAATGTGTTTTCTTTAAAAAATAGCCAGTTTATATAGATTCTGTTTGAGTCGAGTCTATAGACTACCATAATAAAAGATGGACTAAGTTGCACTGATGTCACTTATTGATTTGTGACCTCTCTTGACTTTGACATTCGGCTCCAAAAAAGCAGGTGTTTAGATTTGTTTGTGTTTTTTGTGCCTGAAGCGATCTCAAATGACGACATACATAAAAAAAATTAATCTATAGTCCAGATCTTTAACCCATTCACTCAGCAACTCAACTGATTCAATTGTTTTTTACAACATGAAGCTGCTGTTTCTCTGTTAATACAAGTGCTAAATGCTAATTCTAATTAATGCTGATGTAAAAAGAAGCAATTAGCTAATCAGCAATGCTGCTGGGACAAACACTGCTGTCAGGCCCCTGTCTAGTGTTTTTGAGCTACACACAGTGACACAGGTGTATTTAAACAGGCACTGCTCTGTTTTTTAAGTACTCTTGATGCCAAAATTCTCAGCAAATAGAACATTTTCTAAATGTTAATTAGAATCCAAACATGCTTTTACTTTGCTACACTAACTACATCCTCAAAATTCTGTCAAAACAGGTACTGTATGTGTTAGCAAGGCTGTGCCTCTGTGTCCACTTCAAATGAGAATACATCAGCTTGTACACTCTTCAGTGATTGGTTGATGGGAAATCCAATCTTAAAATTGATTAGAAGTGATGGTAATCACAGACTGGACCTGGAAACACATGGGAACAAGAAGACAATTTTGACTGATATCAAGCCAAAAAATAAAATAAAAACCATAAATCTGCTGCATTGATTATGGTTAGTAATTTATACAAATATGATAAATGTGATAATTCCATTTTTTGTTGATTATTTTTTTCAGCTTTATGTTGTTGTTGCCTGCTATTGACGGTGGAGCAATGGTTTGGCTTATATTTCTCTGTGAGTGTGTTTTATTGACGGTATTGTTAGCAAAATATTTCACGAACCAGTGGTCAGAAAACTCAAAGTAATGTTTGGATGAACATCTACAACCGATTAACGTTTAGAGGCAGTCGCATTTAAGATGGCCGCCACAGCAAACTGATAGCTGTAGCTCAGTCAGTTCCACAGATACTGAGCTCACCTTTGTGTGGTAGTAACTGACAGTCATCCCCACGATAATAGCTGCCCACTGCTCCACCTGGGTGTGTCCCAAGTGCGATGGATTAAATGCAGAGAACCAGTTTTGCCATTGTATGGGAACATACAATTATGACAACACATAGCACCTTACTTTACTTTTCTGAGTGCTGACACATCACACAATATCACATGAGATCGTTCATGAGGTAATTCATCAGGTTTGACCAAAACGGCTCTAACTATAAGTTTCTGCTCAGCATCTTGCTTTATAACTCTGGCATGAAAGGCTGCACGGGATAAGCATCCCTTAAAGAAATGCTAATTTTTTAACCCTCCTGCTGTGCTTGGGTCAAAATGACCCATGCAGCCTAAATGAATACTATTTTCCTGTCTCAGAGTAATTGTACAATTTTTGAATAATCAAAATGGAAAACATTCAATTTTTGAAGATTAAGTACCAGTAAGTAGAATATTAATACTTCAGGATCTTTTTGGAGTTTATTCAATATAAACTATATTCAAGAGATTTATTCTTAAAAAAACATTATTGCATTATTATTTATTACTATTTGGCTGTCGAGGGAAGCTTAGCATCATATTAGCAGCTGGAACAGATTCCTGAAGTTCAGCTGCAATTCAAATCATAAAATGTGGCCTAGTTGGTTTGGGACAACTCCTCACCGAACACGTCGCAGAACTTTCTGGGCGTTTAAAGTTTTTCAGAGTTGCGTGTCATTCCAGACTTAAGCTGTTAGTTTAGGAAAACGTTTGATGAGTGGAAATGGATGTGAGCCTTTATCATCAATAACTCCTTGTTTATGCATGGCGCAGCTCTCCGTTGGTGGTTTGTTCCATCCATTGTGATGTGGTCGCCCTCTGCCGAGCCATTTTCTCCATGTGCAGGCTTTGCACTCCATTATGAATGTGTGTTTGTGTGTTTGTGTTATTGATTACCAAGTCCGGCATTATTATGCAATGCAAAGCTGATTTGGCCTGTGGTTTTTCTCTCAGGAAAGTCATTACATTTTTCATGCAATCCATCTTGATGAAGGTCATACTGGGAGTTAAGCACGGAGCCTACTGAACAGCGTGTTCATATGAATAAGCAGCGTGTGCATGTAGTGTGTATATGTGTGTGTGCGTCAGAACAATGTGACCACAGCTGGTTAGGAACCTCCACACATCAGCGCAACTAAAAGCATTTGTGTGCAAGGCTGAGGAAAAAGACCAGTAAAAATTAGAAAGCGTAGTTCAAGACTTCTCTTCCTGCTTCTTTTAACCAACCTCCTGCGGTAACAACTTCCCATCTACTCCTTTTCTAGATTTTTCTGTGTTTACTCCCCCAGCACAACACCACAACCACCACACACTCCTCTACATGGCTCCTTCTCTGATGAGGAGATGCAGACTCAGTTCAGGGAGAGGTTGGGTGTCCCTTAGTGGATTCCTTTAAAGCTCCCCTTCTAACCAGGCATAAAGTTTTCTGCATACCTAAACACTGTGTCTTCTTTCTCTTTTTGTGCACTTGTGGATTTTAAGTTGTGCGCGTGTTTTTGCTTAGGTTTGTGTGTGTGTTTGTCTGTTACCAAAATAATTCATGTGCCTCTGGATGAAATGGAATAAAAAATACAGAAAGTAATCATTGGATGAACATCTGCACTGACTAACTTTTTGATTCAAGATGGCCACCGCAGTCAGCTAATGTTAAAACACACAATAATCAAAGTCAACGTTTCTTTATTTGTCATACGCACCACATGTGTTACATGTGGTGGAATGAAATTGTGTACACAGGGTCCCAGTTACATCCAACAAAAGTATAAATTATAAAGAATAACAGTAATAAGATCTAAGATATGAACTAAGAAATACACTAAACTAAGAATACACTAAGCACTTATAGTACAAAAACAATACGCCCAACAACAATAATGGCTTTAACGCTGTCTTTTAAAAAAAATATTAAATTAAGTTT